AGGGGGGGGGGCTGGCGGAGAGAGCTGGAGGTGGGCGCGCGTTGCCGGCAGGTACTCGACGCCCGAGGGCGCGGTGCGCGAGGAGGCGGTGCGGCTGCGGCGCGTGGGCGGCCAGACGGTGCCGCAGGTGCGCGGCCGCGTGCGCTGGACCAGCCCCGAGGGCCGCGCCTTCGAGCTGCGCTACGAGGCCGACGAGAACGGATACCGCGTGCACCCGCAGGTACCTCAATGCAACTGCCACGCGCTCTGCACTTTGCTCCAATAATACTTCCTCAACAGCGAAAAAGTATCATTAATAATGTTGTGACATACCAAAAATAATCGCAATTTTTGGGGAATTTCATTGTATTGGGAAGAGGCAATAGATAGCTGAATCCTTTTGTAATGTGTATCTAAGGGGACGTCGGCGAGGTAAACTAAATAAGATCACGTCAGAGTAGAAGGGGTCGGCTAAAAAGGGTGATAGATACACGTGGCAGATGTCTGCCGGGTCTAAAAGAATGGAAGGATTATTAATGGTGGAATTTTTGTCTGAGAATCAAGTAAGATTATTTCTAGCTACGCGGAATAGTGAGGAGCGAGGACCAATATTGCCGGCGTAGGACGTGCGATAGAGGAATTTTAAGACAGTGTTTGAGAGTGGGCACCCATCTGCGGTGAACCCATTTCTATTAATGTTAGTCATATTAGGACATTGGAGCGGACAAAATACGTCAACCAATTGCATTAGCGGGAGTAAGTAAAATTACAAATAGAATCCGCGTGAATTGTACTAATGGAGCAAGCTGGGCAAAAATTGCAACAAATAAAATCGAAAGACATTACAATGTGGACACAATTATTTAAATTCAAATGTTGCACGTTTATGTTTCGTTCAATAAGCCTACTGTACTTACATTTTGCAAGACAAGAATAACGTACTACAGTGAAACCTCTCCGAAAAAACATCTCTAGAAAACGACCTTTCCCCTCAACTCACAACTGTTCCCGGAACGGACACAATATTCCATATATTGCATGTAAATTATACTCCTGTTAACAGACTACCACTCTCCCTGACTACTAACCGATCCCTTATTTAGTAATTTTCTTAGTTAAGCCCTTTTAAGAGCCCACATTTAGGATAATTGTAAGCATATATTACGGTAAAGTTTCAGCAGTTAAAACTGGAGTTCTGAACGACCATCGTGCGACACCTCCTGTGCCTGAGCTTCTGTCCTCGAAGAAATAGCGAGGCAGAGAGGATTTCAGGAATCGCATACCAATATAATAATGCTCTAGTAAATGTGTCGGTGGATATAAAAGTGATTTTGTAGTTTGTAAAAGAGAAATTTTATGACTTCTTGATATTCCCATTTAACTTAAGGAGTTGTTTCATGCTTGAAAGTATACACATTATTCGATTCCAAATCGTGCTTGCTAATGTGCCCATTTTGTTCGTCTTCTGACATTTCACTAAAAACAGACAAGTCATCATCTTGTGGCAACTCTCCTTCAATTTATTTGTCTGTTATGAAGAATTTTGATATGATATAAAAGGATAAGAAAAAAAATTGAATTCGTGAAGAGTTCATAAACGCACAGGAAGCTGCATTCGCCACTCACCTAAAATTAGTCGCGAAGATAGAGGTTCGCTAAGACGCCACGCTTGCACATTCACCACTGTCGAAATGCAAGGGAACATAGCGTCGATTCACACAGGGCAATTCAGAAAACTTTATTCATTGCTCGCTCTGTCTAGGAAAGTTGAACGAAGAGATTTCATGGAACGTACAGCATCGGCAGCCCGTCGCGTTCTGGGACAAGAAAGGGAGCGGGTCAAATTGAGCAGACGCCGCTAGTCAAAGGACGAGGCGGGAAGATTGTAATGTTAGTAAAATGAAAGTGACGAGGAATTAGTATTCCTATTCTCCTTAGGTTAATGTGACCCAAAACAAAATTTAACTCAACATAATTCCTTTATTTGCAATTCTTAGTGCTTGGTAATTTGTGAATTGTTTTTGGAATATTGTACGCCTCATAAAATCTGAAAATTGATGACAGGTTGGTTTCTTGGCTCTGAGATTAATAATGTTTTACTTGAGCTCTAAGAGTTAATGTGAGCAAGTATGTAGCATCAAATTTCCTCACTTTATTGTGGGAGCATTCTGCACAAAAATACGTTTTTGTGTTGAATGTTTTTTTAACCATTCGTTTGTCAATGAGGAGGATATTTCAGAAGAAAAACAAGCCTTTCAAGGGATGGCAACATACATTCTACCTCGGAGTATGGCTGTGATACTTCAGAAAGTGAGGGTAACATATTTAGTCAAGAAGACGAAAAAGAATACTTGAAAGTGCAGAATCTTCTCCACAACATGGAAGAACATCCTATGCGAACCATCAAATTGACATCCAGCCCAAATTGATATCTATCTTCACAAAAAACGATAAGATATTTTATTTTCAACTAATTATGAAGAATAAATTTGGTGATACAGTGTTGAAAATAACAAATGTGTGTATGATGACAACTAGGGAACGTTTGGATGCAATTAGATTCTAAGCTTACATTGGTATTCTGTGGTTGGCTGGTGTTTATTCTACATCACTTAACGAATCAACAAGCAACTTGTGTATCCCTGATCCATTCATTCTGAGACAATGTCTCTCAAATGATTTAATTGAATCTCTTTGCAGTCCTACTCGACGACAGGTGCGATCGACGGTCAAGGAGAGCAGAGGACATGGTAGCCCTCGTAAGAAATTTCTGAGAACACGGAAGAATTGCTTTCGAAGTGTTAATCCTGGAACCTGTTGACGAACAGCCTGTAGGTTCAGATGACGCTGTCCATTCAATGAGTTTACCCAAAGAAACCCAGCAAGGTACGGGATGAAAAATATGTACACTGTGTAATAGTGCTATTGTTATCACTACATACTGTTTGAAAGAACAGTTCTAAACGGAAAACTTCCAGGAACAAGTGAGAAAAATCGGGGTATGCGTGAAGTAATGGATTTGACACACGAGCTAAAGTCAGACTATTTCATGTGATAATTTGTTCACATCGGGTTAAGTTATTTTAAAATATAAAACGTCGATGTTGGTTACAAGGAGGAGAAACAAAACTGATCTCACTTATCTACGTATAAAAAACGATGCCGAACACATTTACAATAATACTTATAAAAGACAGTACAGAAGTATTCATATAACAAATAACAGAAACGTCCTCATTAGCGGATTGCATAAAAGTCAGGAAGCAAAACACGGAAGATAAGAAATCAAAGGTAATACTTGACTACAATGCAACAAACGGGGCATTTGACACTATAGATGAACTTACTGTCACGTATTCCTTGTAAGAAGAAAATTAATGCTGGCCAGCAATTCTATTTCACAATATTTTATAGTGTAATAGAAGACAATTTTTTCGTTTTGTGAAAAGAAGTCAATCCATACTGGAACAATAATATTATCCACAAGAGAAATATATATCTTGAGGAATTACTCTAACAACTTGTTTTACTTACGAGTATACAGAAATTAGAAAGTAACTGCCAAGCAATGAACCAGCAATTGCTGTTTTAAGGAAGATACCCTTCCAGATCTAATCAGAGTCGTACCAAATTCGGATGCATAGGAAAAGATGTACATTTTGTGTCCCCAAATATGGCAACAAAATATCGCAATACTGTAGCGTAGCACCTCCCTCGCGTTGCGGACTGCGAGGGTTTTGAGAGCCGACGGTTGACGATTTTAATGGAATAACTGATGGTAGACCAAGAAAAGCCTTCAGGGCGAGGCCTCTGTGGGTTAGATTGGTAGAGAATATTTTCTAGGACTGGATGTGCTTAGTGATCAATAACAAATGATATGGATGTGTTCGAACTACGTGGATGGGATGGCATTTTATTTATTACTGACTGATCTAGATGCAAACAATACAAAAACTTTCAAATTCAGCATATCTCAAAAAACAAATATTTAAAAAATCATGCATTAATTAGGTTCTTCTGCTTTCTTGGAATATTATTAAAGTTGTTTTCAGTAGAGTATCTTATTCTGGAACCCACAAATTTCCTTCACAATAATACGGTTATTCTTGCGACGAAGTCTCGTGGCTGAGAGGAGGTCGCGCCCGTTTTGCCCGCGAATGGCGCGCCGGGGAAGGGTCGGCGACCGGACCGGAGTGTTTGCACGCAGTTGGGGTGACGTGCAGGTGAGGCGGCGGCGAACCCGACAGCTGGTGAGAGCGAGGTGACCTTGAACGATCAGCTGGCGCCATTCGACCTCGCCGGCGCGGAAGCCAATAGGCGACCACAGCGGCGGTCTCGTCTCCCGCAGTCGGCGAAAGAACTCGTGCATTAACGGCGGAACGTTTATAACAACTGTACGGTGTTTATTTGCGAACCGCACTCGCAACTTATGGTTCGAAGTAGTCCATTCTCTCATCTCTGTCTGATCTTAAGAGAGATCTACTTAGAATTCTTCTTCATTCAAGTCAAATGCTGAAGTCTGGTCGCAGGTTCTGAAGTCTGGCTCTCTCGGTCTGAATGTAAGTGTTGAAAGTAAGTTACTGCTGCTGTCCGTCTCTCTGCAGGCTGATGCTGTGTGTCTCTTTCACTTCTCTCTCCGCACTCTGATGCTGTCTCTCTTCCACCTGGCTCTCTGCAGTGTGATGCTCCAACCGAAGCGATCGTACCTCGAAGCATACTCTGCCCGCGCAAAAACTCATGCCCAGATTGTTCTCGCGTTTCTTGATCAATCAGATTGAACGAATTTCAAAATGCGGGACTCGTAACCGCGTCAATACCACCGATTCGCAGGCGATGATGCCACGTGGGTACGCTTCTAGAAGCTTCTTCTGTTCTTTCATTGTGATTGGGTAAAGGGTTCTACTATCTTTGGCATTGATGTGTTATCCAGCCTCGGAAATAGATTAGTCTCAATCGTGCTGGGAGAATTTCCATTAGCAAAGTGCTAATTGGCATAACTAGCTGTCGTTTCTAGGAAAACGTCTATGGCATGTCGGTGGTTGAAAGTGGCGGTTGGCCAAGAGCGACTCTGGGTATATTGTTATGGTGGGCATCCCTCTATTCTGGCATTTCAAGAAAACCTCGTGTCAGAAATATGTTAGCTCCGGACGTGGTGATAGAATTTTCCAAGGTATTATCGAGGCAGTAGTGCGTAGCGAGCAGTCACTTCCTGCGTCACTCGGCGAGTCGCCAAATCTATCGTAATTCACGCATGACAGTGAAAATTGACTTTTCGGTACATTTCGCCAATTTGGATGACGCGTGAGGGGGAGGGGAGGCGCAGAACCGAGAGACGCGTGTCAGCTGCGCTCTGGGATAGGTCTTCCCGTCCAGTCGAAGTTGGTGAGCATTTACAAACATACTCCAAAGTTACACGGGAGAAAAGGATTTCCACCCTCCAAAGATTATTTTTAAGAATAGGTGGACCTCGAGGACGGATCAGTGACGGATGAACAGGCGCTGGGGCGATTCGAAATCTTCGAGTTGATTGTAAGAGCCATGCTAAATGCTTTTACGGTACAGAATACAAAATGAAGCACCTATATTTTGTGTTTAAACTCGAAACTGGGGCAATAATCTTATTGACTATTCATATATGTACTTATTTAAACAGATGTTTATCAATAATACAATTTCTTTAATCAACGCTTATTTTTAAACTAATCACATTTTATGTAATAGGTGTGAGAAAATGTATTACGTGTTTTAGTGCCAATTGTCAATGTCCCAAGAATCTGGGTCAAATGAGCCGAAATATTAACAATGCGTTGTAATTTTTAAGAACAGGAAGATTAAGGGAATGAGATGCCAGGCCGCTTCATGGCCGAGGTAGGCGGCCGTCAAACAGACGGCATTTCGTTGGCTACGGCCTCATTTCCACGCGCGCCCAGGGAGAACTTCAGTGATCTCCTTTGGGTGAGGTTCGTCACGGTTCCCCGGACCAAAAGGCGCAACTAGCAGCCGCCATCTTCTGCCATTCGCCGAGCCGGGCGAGCCGCCGGCCTCAGAGCGATGATCTCGCCGTGAGGACGGTGACCACACCCGGTGAGAAAACCTCAATGTCGGAGGGATTTCTCCTGTTCGTCTCCTAGGTTCAGTTCAACAGATATGTAAAATGATTAATGTGAGATGGACTAAGAACAGAGTTGTCTTAATTATGTAATATAACGTAATCCTTTTTCTTCTTTATTATCAAAAGTTCAGTAAATTGATTTAAAATGTTTTCTTGTCTTTATTGCAGATTAAATTTTCTATCAAAATTAACTCTTCTCTTTCACGTGATTTCACGAAACCCCTTCACGTTGTCCTTCACTCCCTGGACACTTCATAGCTTTAAGATGAGGGCAAACACGTCATAGGGCGCGTGCAATCTCCCCTTCCTCATTCTTGTCCTATTCTTTCCGCCTTTTTATACACACTTGTTCGAACATACACTACATTACCACACATATCATGAGACCTGTTGAAAGCTCGAAGCTGGTGCCGGATGCGTCGGTCCCCGTTCGACGAGATACCTGCAAAGGGAAATCCCAGCACGCCGACGTGTAGGTCGACACTGGATCTCATCTTCCAGGGAAGGAACACCGATACCTTCAGGCAAAACAAAATCACGACACTGTGTGGACTGATGATCATAACAGGCGACGTGGCCGGAAACACGAATGAATCAAAGTTTAGTGGATGCGCCGTTTCAGTTGCAGGGGCAGCGTCCGGCAGGGGAGGAGGGCCACTGGCCGTCGCCGCCCGGCCCCCACCGCCCGGGCGTCGCGGCGCCGGCGCCGGCGCGGGCGCCCCCGTCCCCCCAGCGCTCCCTGGCGCTGGACGACGCGATGACGCCGCCGCCGGACGTGGACTGGCAGCGCGTGCGCCACTAGCGCCCCGCGCCACCCACGGCCCCTCCGCGCAGCACAGCTCCGGTTCGCGGCAATGGGCCTCACAAACCGAGCGCAGCGCAGCACTCCGCAGACCGGAGCGGTTGCCACAAGTCACAGCTGATAATATTTAATTTTTAAAGTTCGATGGCAGTAAACGTGTCTATGTAGTAAAAGTATCTATTTGTGTCGGAATCATTCACTGTGAGTTTGTGAAGCAAGATACTCTAGAATTTTAAGGATGCATCTCAGAGATAACGGCGTGTAACAGTGTGCCATTTAGTAGCGCATGTGCCGCATTCAATGCTTGCAATAGAAAAATTGATACCAGCCATCAAATTATCACTGATGTAAACCAAATTTCGATTCTTCTCCAAAATAAAAGACACAAAAGAAAATAAACTTCGTCGTGCGTTCTAAATGCATCCATCATATCCTTCCAACTTGTAACTCAAAATAAAAAAAAAAATCGTGTAGTGATTCAAACAGTTTAAGCAAATGCCAGTTCAACAATCCTCGATTCAATAATATTTTTCATCGCTTGACCTTTGGTCAGTTTTACATAATCGTGTAAACAAAAAACGACATTGCCTACCAATCTGGAGGAAATATCGCATGTGTAACTCCGTTATATGAAATTACTATCAAATGTTCATTGTCAAAAAGTGAATATGTTCAAACCCTTCTACGTGCCTTAGAACTTTCTCACAAAAATCGATATTATTTGCACACCTTAATATCGTGCAAAATAATTTCATGCTACAACGCTCCAAGGCTCTTTACCTTCCAACACTTCAGCTACCTCACCGCTATAATACATTTTCTTAAAATCAACAAAACTGCCGTAAACTGTTGTAAAATGCGTACATCATTTCAATGAATTAGTCTAAGTGTGATTTTAGAATGTATTGCACTTCAGGGTAGAACAATGGAGATATGCAAAACTGAGCGAATATAACTGAGAACCAAAAATAAAAACACAAAATTATAGCAAGCAAATTCACTATACTTGTGATCTTTAAACACAACATTATTATAACAAGATATTGCACAGCAAATAAATACCCATGAAAATTCATCAAATGTCATTGATACATACAAAATAGGGTCAAAATAAGGAATTATTGTATTGCCATTCTGAGAACGAGAAAAAAAACGAGCTCTGTGTATTTATAAACACAACCATTTCCTGACTTCAGTTGGATGAGTAAAAATACTTCATCTCCGATTAAACCATCGGCATTTTCTACAGGTCAATGCGCTAGGACGTAGCACAACACTGGAAACTCCTATGCAAATTCAGATTCCAGTTTACTACCTACTCCCCTCACAAAAAACACTTAATTCGAATTTGACGTACAAACGTGGTCTGGACAAACTGAAATGTTAGGTATTTTTTGTTATTTGATTTTGGATTTATTTTACTTTAATTAATTTAAAAAGTTTGTTCTTTGTGTTGTGCGATGGCAGTAATTTTCCACTACTACCTCCTTGAACCCGTGCGAGATTCTCGCGAGTTAAACCTCACACTCTTCTTTATCCTTCTATTTTAAGAAGGAAATTTGGTAACAAAAAGTGTTTATGTATAAACGTAACTTCTAATATAACAATACAAAATCAAAAACAAAAAATATTGCAATTGATGTTGAAAATACATTTTTACATAAGATTTATTTAGTATTATGGAGAGATTTCTTGAACCAATTCACACACTTCCTTAAAAATATTTTAAGTAATTATTCAATATTCTTTGACAGTTAGCTTTTCGTGAAACTCACAAAAATATCAAAAAGGCATTTTACTCTTGAGAAAGCTACGTGACTGAACACGCTGACTGGAAAGTTACACTCAATCACTGATGATAGCGAAAATACTGGTACAGGTAAAACACAAACCGAACCTAACAAGACACGTCTTCAATCTTCACTGTACACTCACATCCCACCACAATTAGGTAGACCTTCTACACCGCGACAAAACGTTAAATTAATATTATCACTACACGCATTAGAAACAATAGTAATCGGAATAAAGCAACTATTAACAGCACTTCAAGTTGTTGATGCGAGCTCGAATATTGAATTAATTATTATTCAAATTAAATTCGTCATCTGCACAAATCCCGGTGCGCACAGAAAGCGTAAAATAGTAGCAGAAAGCGGGATCTAAGCCTGACGTGACATCACTAAGCGTGACGTAACACAGATGGCCACCATCACCAAGGGTTGAAATATAGGTCGTTTTGATAGTATCGATAAGTGCCGAAATTGAATAGAATGTCCTCAAAATTTTAGTTTTTAAGGCTTTAGAACGCTTCATTTAGGAGTTGTTTAACGTTATAGCTACGTGAGTGCTGCGGGTTGCATTTAACATGAATATTTATATGCGTTGTTTTAAACAAATCCTTCATATTTTTAAAGTCGAAGTGCACATAGTAACGTTTCCGTCAAATTCTCATTCT